CGTCAGCAAAACCCCATATTCTGGCAGTGGGAGTAGACTCATAACCATGAGACTAAGAATAACCTCTAGGTGAGTCAAGACTAAAGATTGCGCGTTAGACTAAATATTGCGCGTAATTATAAGGGCCCGCTCTAAGCTAATAGACTCTCCGTAAGGGACAGGCTCAAGCCCACAAAATAATATAAAAAAAATCTTATTAATGAAAAGTTGTGTTTTAGGACTAACAATCTTATTAAGAGAAAACAAACTAGATTCTAATAGGACCAAAATTTATGGAAAATAGTAATAACAGAACTATCTTTTAAAGACTCCCTATGATTGAGGAAACAGATTGGTCATCAAACTAGATTTGTTTCCAAATTAAATCAAACACCTAAAACATTATCCAAAATAGTAAATAAACTAACAAAAAAAATCACATATCTTTCAATTCAGAGAGAATTTCATGAAATAGATAGCGACAAGAATAACAGTCAGTTTGGTTAGTTTTGATTCGAAAAAATACCCAATTTTTATATATTGTCCTTTCAATTCTGGCGCATGTTTTGAGAGATACGACTCATTCTTTGTTGCAAGCCAATTTCTTCTGCCGAGCTCCTGTTAGAACTTTTGACAATCTAGTTTCTCCATAAATGCATCCGCAACAGGCTTTACATGATATAATAAACTTATGATTTGCCCAAAGTAGATGCTGTGTGATACCTTCTACCCTCAACATTCACTAAAGACAACATTCCTGACCTATGCCTTTATTCTAAATCTAATAATGTTCCCGTTATATTATATCCCATAATGAAGCAAATTATTTTCTTTGGCGACCATGTGCATGCTTCAATTGTGAGAACCTTAGAGCTCGACAGAAATATAAAGCCAAGAGCTCACTCTCAAATCAAATTGCCACCAATAGGGTAATCTATTTTAAATTTGGCGACCATGTGCATGCTTCAATTGTAAGAACGTACCTTACATCTCGACTGAAATATAAAGCCAAGAGCACGCTCTCTAATGAAATTGCCACCAACAAGAAATCTATTTTAAATTCCATTAATTTGATTATATCTTTCTTTATCTCCTGACGTAAGCTGTTCTAAAGTTTATATTCAAATGGCGAGTTGCCAATTTTGAAAGAAAAAACAAATCACATCGCATCACATCTCATTTTGAAAATGATCTCTAATTTTAAAAATTGGGACATTTTGTTTCTCTTAAAAAAAAAAGACAAACTCAATAATAAACAATAACATGGGATTTGAGAATGGTTGTTATCTAAACCTTTACAAGAAATTATTAGGTGTTCAGTGAGTAATATACCATGTCAATAGAACTATACAAATAGGAGAAGACCATGTGGCACAAACCTCCATGAGTAACTACACATAAATAATTAATATCATTCAAAAGAAATTAATTAATTAATTAATTATTAGTTTTTTTTTAATATTTTATACCCTCTTCCTATTGCTATTGGTGTGGTATAGTGCTCATGGGGGCACCAAAGAATCTTTCAAGCTTTTATTCTCAATCCCGTAGCAGCACTTGAAACAAAATTCACTGTGAATATCGCAAAGAACATTGATTTCTAGCAGCACTTGAAACAAAATTCTGAATATCGCAAAGAACATTGATTTCGTTCCCTTTCAATAATGTGTTAGCTTGACTAAAACAATGAACCTTTGACTAGTAAGATTTATATTGTACGTTTAACATGATTGAAAATGTTAAAATTGGGGGTGGAAACCAACCTCCGCCGGCGACGAGGAGCTCCGACGAGCTCGGAGAAGACGCGACCCTCGAGCCGAAACGCTGATCGGTGCGTTGGTGAACGCGGACGTCCGGTAAGGCCGGACGCGCAAGCCTCAGTGTTATTGGTGGCCGACCCTGCGATCCGCAAAATCCCACTCTCGCGCGTTCATGGCGATTCCCAACACGCCGCGTTCGACGAACGCTCGGGACAGGCTGTCGGCCAGCCTCGTCATCGTTTCCGCATATAAAGAAACCCGGCCTAGGCGTTTTTCGCTGCTCCTCCTCCCGGATTCTTTCCTTCTGGCGGCGGAATGCGCTACACGCCACAAGCGTCCCCTTTGAAATCGCAGCAGCGATTTTACTTCCAATCTCCAGCTCTCATTTGGTTTGAGGGGAGATAGAAAGATTGAAGGAAGAGCATTTAGAAAGGAAGAGGGGCAATTTTTAAAGTGGGTTTTAACACTGTAGCTCTAGTGTTTGTTTGAGGAATCTCAGTTAAGATTTGCTCTTAATTTGTAATTTCTTGTTAGATTAAATAAGAAATTCACTGTGTGGCTCGCCGGCGAACGTTAGGCAGTTTGCCGACCTCAGTAATCTTGTGTACTGTTCTTATTCTGGCGTTTCGCTGCATTAGAGGATCTTCTAGCGTTAAATTTCCCCAAACAATGGTATCAAGAGCGGAAACGATCTAGAGGAGAAGTCAGATGTCAAGTGGGAAGCATGGGCCGCAGATTGGCGGAAACAAGGTGAGATTTAGAGAATGTTTTGATGGTATCAGATTTTCGGCTTCTGGAAATGCAGATAGAAGGCATTATCTGTTCATAAAAATCTGTATCAACCACTATCGTGGGAAAAAGAAGCCAGTTCTATGAGGAAGAGATGTGGAACCTTCTAGATAGACAACGCCCTCGGAGTTATCATGATTCGATGTTGACTCGCAATGTTTGCTTAACATATGCGAAGAGAGACAGACCACGGCAGTCTCTTATTGGCACTCTTTCAAACATGTATTGCAGAAACCACTCAGCGCCGAATCAAAGTTCCATTTTTAGACTGCGGACGGGTTATTCATCTGAACAAATGGCGGAAAGTGCGCGTCCAATAGCCCACGAACAAACCTCAATGACTTAATACGGTTTTACACCCAATTGAGTCAAGTTGAGATTTGAGTTTGAATTGATGAAGTTCGGCGTTGAATAACTTTTATCTTCACCTTACAGAGGTTGGAACGCCTACAGTCACAGCTTGTGGGGAGTAGCCTCTCGGGAAAGAAAAAGTTTGAAGTTCGGGACGAATTCGTGATTTGAGCTTCTTCAGTGAGGAGAGATTCGACGCTCGAGAGACTGGTGAAGTACAACCTCTTCAGTATTGCTCACAAGCAGGCAATTAGGTAGAAAGTTCACCAGAGGAATACGGACGAGGCAAAATCAAGACTAACAGATGGTAGATCACACAGGACAGAGAGGTCCAAATCAAGGAATCAAGCAACAGACTCAGAAGAGCTAATCTGAGTGTTCGAAATTGTGAAAGACCGGGCATTACAAGAATCAGTGCAAGAGTGCAGCAGAGAGAGAGGAAGCGAAGGCAGAGAGTGAATGTCACTATCCACCTCGGAGGAGACCGCGATTAGATATGCTCTTTGGAGAGCTAAGAGGAAACTTGCGGTTGTTAGATTCCAGGAGCGTCGTTCCATGCTTACTCTCAGCAAAGAATTCTTCAAAAAGTATACCCCACGAAATCTTGGCATACCGGCATAATCTTGGTGGATGATTCCAACCATGTCATATTGTGGGCAAAGGGCTGCCGAGCTAAAAAATTAAGTTGAAACGGGTCATTATGGGAGCTGAAGGTCAGCATATTCCGACGAGGAAGATTTAATATCTGGTAGCGCAGTGGCTGGCGAAGTATATACCTAACAGACCTTCCATTGGAGCATGCATTGGAAGATCTCCAAGGGCGCAGATTGAAATTGCACCGAGAGAGGAAGACTGCCGTACTATATGTATGACAGAAGAGTTGCACTGTGTCGAATCTCAGTTGCCAGCAGGCAGATGCAAGACTATCAAAGCTGTTCACGCGCCCACAGACTAGAGACTCGGTCATTATGACAGTAAAGCGGGATGAAAATCTGCACACCAAAGGGAAACTTCCCAGGACTGCATTGTCAGTGGATTGCGATAATGTGTGGAAGATCCATGCATAGTTGGAAGCAGCAGAGGTCAGGCTTTCGACGAGTGCAGAACCCGCAGGAAAGAGACAGACTAGAAGCCTCGTTATCACTTCAAGCATGTGGTGGGGACCAACAACCACCGCCGTCATTGGTTGGAAGAACACTAATTCCGTGACTTTCATCGATGATCACTCTCGGAAAGTAGGGTTACTTTCTGACAGGCATAGTCAGAAGTATTTGAACCGGCTTTCAGGACGATGGCAGCTCGATTGATCTTCGAAATAGAGACCGTCTTGAGCTTCATAAAGCCAAGCTCAGGAGCCGACTAAATGCGCCGGTGAGTCATGAAGACACCGGATTCCAAGACAGTATCTGCTATGAGCACAGGATCAGAATGGACAGGAACCCGTGCCGCGTACGCCTCAGCAAAATTGGTGCCTGACCGCGCGATGAACGTACGTTGACAGAAGGCCAGAAGCGTATCGAGTACAGTTCAGGCCTACCAAGCAGTTCTGACGAACAGAACGGTCAACACAGCAGTTACTTGCATCAACGAGGTCCATCGGTTGATCAGTTGGAGCACAGCAATACCAGTAGGAGGATATGCGTTTCGGAAAGGACGGTAAAACTACTACTATCTAAAAGTTTTCGGTTGTAGTGTATAGCCTTACGTGCAATATTATGTGATCAACGGCAAGAGATAGCTTGCATCCCAATGTCAAGAATACCACTTTTCAATCGGCCTATGGTGAAGATGAGTATCGGCATACGCATTTCGGTGGACAAACGAAAAACAAGAAGGTGATTCCGGCAGCAGGATGTGATTTATTCAACGGCGAGAATGGTGATTTCCTACATGAGCGTACAAACATGCACAAGATGCTGTCAGAGAGGTGAGTCAAGTATTTGTAGGATGGCGAGTGATGTCCGGAGTAACCTCTACGAAGAACCATGCAGCAGGGTCCTCAGCAGAGAGCATGTTGGACAAGATGTGGTAATGGTAGGAGCCCGACGCACCAAGCTCGATTGAAATCTTCTCGTCCTCCAATGTACCAACAGACGAATTATGAATATTGTTGTGGACACGATGGGTGGGGGAGCCTTGAAAGCTTTGAATGAAGTTGTCAGTGTGAGAGTGCGAGCAAGATTGGAGCTTGACAATGAAGATGAAATGAAGTCTTCATATCAAACACAGACGTGGGAACTAGCTGAGTTGCCACGGGTAAAAGGCAGTCCACAACAAATGGGGTACGGTTTTATGTGAAAAGAGGCAGGACGTGTTCCAGAAGATATAAAGCTCCGACTAAGCTTGTCAAAGGTATCTCCAGCAGAAAGGAAGGAATTGACTACACGATATTTTCGCTCCCGTGTAGACTAATACTATCAAGACCGTGATGAGTATTGTAGCAATTGAAGCTCTTATCTCGCAGTTAGACGTGAAGACGGGCGTTTCTTTCATGTGGAATCTCTTAGAAGAGGCTAGATATACATGCACCGGCCTAGAAGGTTTCTCAAGTAAGAAAGAAAGAGAACCTGGTGTGCAGACTCGAATAAGGCTTAGATTATGGCCTGAACAAGCCCCAAGGCGATAGCGCTACAAGAAAGTTTGACGCGAAATTCTGCACAAGAAGCACGTTTCAGAAGTCGCCACTCCGACCCACTGTGCTACTTCCAAAAGTATCAGTCCAGCTATATCTCCTACTTGCTGTATGTTGATGATATTGTTGGTTGCACAGCGTGAGCAATATGGAGACTATCAAGATTTGAAGCAGCAGCATGTCAACGGAAGTTTGACTGAAGGACTTGGAGTCCAAGCTTAAGAAGATCCTTGGAAATGCCAATCGAGAGATAGGAAGAGAGGTCTCATTGCAGTATATTCTCAGACGGACAGTACATCAACCGGCTGTTGCAGAGGCTTCAACGCAATGCCCGGCGACGGCCAAGCTCAGTGAAGACCCCTTAGGCTAGCCATTTTCGATTCTGTGTCAATTAAGGTCAGTCTCCAGTTCGGAGAGAAAGAGAGATTTCTCTCTT